AACCCAGTGTTGACGGAGTCTCTGGTTCAAACCGAGTTAAAATCATGTCTCGGGAAGGGCATAGAGGGAAACATAGTGAGTGAAGCAGGCAGTTGGTGAAGACAGCTATAAACTTCTCAGGAGTTCCTTCAACGGCATTTCTGTCCACTGTACTGTCCTGAGATCTATATTTCCTTCAAGGCTGTGCCTGTCCATTTTGTGGCCTTCCCCACCCCACCACCTATTGTATTTTTAAACTATATACACATCAGCAATCAGAAGAGTGTTTAAACTATTTTTTTAGGGGAGAGAGAAAGAGAAACATCAGTGTGTGAGAGAAACATTGATCGGTTGCCTCTCGTAAGCATCCTGTCTGGAGATCAAGAGTGGCTCTGCAGGCTAGAACTCTTAAACTGATCAGCTGCTGTCACCCCATTTTTTCACACAGTGCTCAGGAGACAGGCTCCCGATAGGCCACTCTGAGGCCAACCTGATTTGGCACACAGGGCATCACTGAAGTCCTAGGAACTTAGGACTGTGTGGGTGGGACTAGGACAAGGTGGTATGGAGAGGACAAGTGCATGAAGCTCAGGGCCCAGCCCAGCCCACCACCAACTGTAATCAGAGCAATTCAGTACTTAACTGTTTTATGTAGTAGCTATGTCACCTTAGGCCACAACATTCAATGAAAAGTTACTGTGTGCCAGATAGTATTTTAAGTACTCTTGATGTACTAGTCATATAATCCTCATACAACCTAGGAGATAGATACTAATCCATGTTAGAGATGAGGAAACAGAGAGAGCTTAGGTAATTTGCTAAAGTCATAGAGTAAATAACTAAGCCAGGACACCAAGCTGGGCAGTTTGATTCAGAGGCTATGCTCTTATCTCTACTATGCTGCCTCCCAATTAACACAGGGTTGTATGTTCGCTCTTATTTTCTCTTCCTCTCCTTCCTTCCATGTTGGTCTTTCCACTTGCTCTCTGGTCCTCTCTGATTCATTCTCCACAGAGCATCGTGAGTGATGTAAAGTACAAATCTTTCCATGTCAGTCCCTGCTTAAAAACATCCAATGGCTTCCCTTTCCATCTCATGTCGGGCCACTCTCCTGTTTGCTCCGTGTGGTCAGCCAGTCTGGTCTTTGTTCAGGTACTCAGATGCTCTGTACCCTCTCCTTCCCCGGGGTCTTAGCACTCACCATTCCTCTGTTTGGACAGCTCCTTGCCACCCTTACACCATTGCCATCCCTTTCCTAGGTAACTTCTATTTGTCCTTCAGAACTTAATGCCTCTTTCATGGACTATCTGAGAACATATCAAGAACATCTCACAGCTTGTCATAACTTTTCTTTCACAGCAAGTATCATAGTCTCTGATGGTTTATTTATGGGATTATATAATTTAATATTTGCCTTTTATACTTGACTATAAGTTCCCTGGGGTTAAGGAGCTTATTTGTCTTGTTGATAGCATATTTCAAGCACATTGTCTGGTTTATAGTAGATGCTCAATAAATATTTGTAGAACAAATGTCAAACGCATTGGAATTTACAGTATTAACAGTCATCATTTAAGGGTTGAGCAAAGAGGCCCTAAGTCATGGGCTGTTTAGCAGATGTGCAGGGTGGTTACTGGGGCCTGGTCACACAGCCTTCCCTGCACAGACCTGCCCATCCAGAGGGTATCTGCTTGTGAACAGGGAGAGAACATCCCTTCTCAGCTGCCCGCTTTCCTAGAACATGATCAGCCCCTACCTCAGGGGAACAAATGGGGCTCTGTGATCCCAAAAACTTCCTTCAGCCTCACAAAACTATAAAGTCCTCCACATGCGGTCTATTTAGTCAACAATTCCTAATTATCCTCCATAACGTAAAGGTTACCTCCTTTGAGAATCCCTTTTTTATCTGGTGGTTAAGCTTCTTTTAGTTGAGAGAACCAGAAACATAATTTCAAAGACATTGTTGAAATGGAAATTTATTGACAGGATGTCAAGTTATCCCATGTAACTGGAAGTTCAAGGACAGCTGGATTTCAGGAACTCAAACACTGCCTGGAAGCGCTCTCTATATCTTCTTTGTATGTCAGCATCTTTCTCTCAATCCTGCTTCTTCCATGAAGTAGGAAACACATCTTACAGCTTTGCTGCCAGAGAGGAACTGAGTGTTTTCCTTGTTTCCAATTTGAAAAATCCTAAAGAATCTTTTGGCCAAATCAGCCGTGGCCAGAGCAGCAGGGTCACATGACATAAATAGGGTCTTTAGGGTCCCACACTTATATTTTGGGGGGGTTTCCAGAGTCAAGGCCACAGTTTCTACATCTGAAAAGTGGGAATTAGGTACTTTTTCCATTGTGGTGCCTGACACATTGCTCAGGCAGAATCTTTGTGATTCCTCATTGTATGAGTGGAAGCCTGGGAGAAAAGGGTCACTGAGAAGCTTGGCTGAACTATATGCCACTTGAGTATAAGTCAGGTGTCCCACTTAGAGCAGAGACTTTTAAATGTCACAAATATCCATTCTGCTACAATAAGTAAAAAACCTCTAGTTTTCAGCTTAGCACATGGCCAAACAGCTAAAAACTGTATTTCCCAGTCTCCTTGTGCTAGGATGGACAAGAGAAAACATCGTTTTAGCCAATGAGATGAAAATATTATGTATATCTTATGGGAAGCATCTTCAGAGGCAGTTTGCCATTTTTTCTTTTCTGAGGGCTGGAATGTAGACAAGATAGTTGGATTTGGAGCAGCTGTCTCTGACCTTGAGGTAAAAACTGATGAGGATGGCAGACTAATAATATAATAGGTCTATGTGAAAGGAATGAACTTCTGTTTAAGGCACGGTTATTTCAGCTTTTCCGTCTCTCACTGCCCAGATTCATTTTATGTTACTCATGCAGGGAGAAACAGGAGCTTCTGTTGTCAGTAGCAGTGGAAGGGCATATAGATGACCTCCCTGTCCCTATAATAGTTTCAAATCTATCAGCAGCAATTCCTGCTTAGGTTCCCATTTCTGTGTTTCAGGGAATGTTAGTTCCTGCCTCCCCTGCCCCCACTTTCCTCTGAAATGTGTGTGCTTTCCCACAGAATATTCTGCCTTATCTGCCCTCACTAGAATAGGAATCGGTGTCCATGTGAAATGCTCCCATCTGGTCAGGCCCCTCTACACTCTTTTCCTTACCACCATTATCAAGAGGTTCTCCCTGTAGGCTTTGGCCTAAAGAGGGGATAGTTGACATATACTATAGGCTGGGGCCTCTGTGGTCAGCTTTCTGAATGCTCTGTATTCCTGAGGGCCGTTGTATGAGTGCATGTGTGCTGTGTGCTGGGGTTGTGTCTAATGTCAATGTGTTTAACAGCCAGTGGAATGGATGTTGGCCAAAAGAGAGCAGGTTCTGGAGTCATCCTGCTGTGGGTGGCCAGGGTGCAGGGGGACATCAAGGGCTTGAGGCAGCACCTGTTTCAACTGTTACAGACCTAGTTCAAAACTTATTTTTTTGTCTTGTTAATCCTCACCTGAGGCTATGTTTTCCATTGACTTTTAGAAAGAGTGGAAGGGACGGGGAGAGGCAGAGAGGGAAACATCGATGTGAGAGATTGGTTACCTCCCACAGTTACCAACCAGGCTGGGGATTGAGCCTATAACCAAGGTATGTGCCCTTGTCCAGAATCAAACCTGCAACCCTTCAGTCCAAGGGCCGACGCTTTAATCACTGAAAAAACCAGCCAGAACTAGTTCAGTATTTTAACAAACAGTTCAGTTGTACTGTGTACACTACCTGAACATCAGCTGTGGTTGTGTGCATGTGTGTTGTGTGTGTGTGTTGGGGGGGGGGGGCTTGGGGTGCTGTGTCAGCCAGGGAGAAAGCCATGAAGGGTTGTGGGACCCTCACAAAGGCTTCTGAAGCTGGGGCCATGCACCCGGACAGTGGCAGAGGGCATAGGTCTCACCTAGGTTCTTGGCCTTATTCAGACAGGAGCACTGAGCAGAGAGAGTGCTGAGACCAGGGGCTGGCCTCTCAGAACCCTGACCTCAGAAAGGGATCTCTCTTGGGACATGTGACGGAGTTGAGGAGCACTGGAGCAATGGCAAGAACATCAGTTTTAGAGTATGGAGGATGGGACCAGATCCACAACCTCCTCCCCAGAGTCCCCCAAAATACTGGCCCACTTGGCTGGGTTGGGCTGGATCTTTTATTTCATGTCACATCCTCTCCACTCCCACCACTGTTCTCCAGCCTGAAGCTTCATGGCTTACAAGGTTCCTGTGGGATCAGCATTTGCCATCCTTCACGATCTGGATGTCCTGTTTGGTTTTCCTAGGATCACAGGAGACAGGGATGAGGCCACCTCCTCAGGAACTGTAATGCACCCTTCAGGGACCTTGGCGAAGTCCATTCAGACACCTGCTGAGCCCTACCACCCACTTAGTGTATGGTGGAGGGCAGACCCCAGGGGTGCCTGGGCATCTTTCTATAGCTTTTCCTTCTTGCACACACTCCCCTGGGAGATTTCAGCTTCCTAGGGTCTCAACCACCACAGCATACTGATGGCTGCAAATCTATCTCCAGCCCAGACTTTTGTCCTAAACTCTAGCCATATCTCCACTGGGATGTCCCAGAGGTTCAACTGTCCAGAGACATCATCACCCCACAAACCTGCTACATCTCTGTTTCTTACCTTGGCACATGGCACCACCAACCGCCCAAACCCACAAGTTAGAAACCAGCATGTTTTTGCCTCCTCCTCCATCATCCCTCACATCCAATCTCACAGCTGTCACTTCTCCCCTGATATAATCCTGAGTGTTTAGTCATGACCTAAGTTAGACTGTCCTGCTGCTCTCTTGCACATCTGTCTAGTGCAGTAGTTCTCAACCTTCTGACCCTTTAAATACAGTTCCTCATGTTGTGACCCAACCATAAAATTACTTTCGTTGCTACTTCATAACTGTAATGTTGCTACTGTTATGAATCGTAATGTAAATATCTGATATGCAGGATGGTCTTAGGCGACCCCTGTGAAAGGGTCGTTCGACTGCCAAAGGGGTCGCGACCCACAGGTTGAGAACCACTGTTCTAGTGCCTTCTAGCTTCCAAAGACTTTCTTCTCTTCTATGATCTCACTTAGCTCTGGCCAGCTCAAGTGTCTTATTAGTGAAGACATGAGACTAAATGAGTGTTCAGATGTACCAAGGTCATATTTTGGTCCTGCCTCTCCAGACTCATTTCTTGCCTCTCTCCTGTTCTCCTTTAAATTTTCTACTCCAGCATATCCAACTTCTTATATTTCCTCAAATATAAACTTTCCCTTCTAGATCTTTCCAAAACTCATTTCTCTATTTAGAATTACCTTCCCTTGTTTCTTCATTTTCCTAGCTAATTTCTACTTACACCTCAAAGCTGGGAAGTCTTCCCTACCCTTGCCCTGTACCCATAGAACCCTGTGTACTCCCATCCAAACCTTTAGCATTCTATTCTGTAGTTAGCTAACAGTCAACGTGGCTTCCCCCTTAGACTGACTGACTGCCCCAGAAGGCCAGTAATGCTGTCTAGCTTATGCCCTGTTGTTTCCTCAGTGTCTAGTACATAATAGGTGCTCAATAAATAATTGTTGACTGGATGAATTAATAATCAAATGAAGTCACCTAGTCAGGATCAGTGTCTTCACTCCCTACCTCCCACCAGCTGCGGCTTTCTGCTTAGAACCATGTGCATGAATTACACTTGTGCCCATTCCGTTAGGAGCAAATGTTGGGGGATTCTTCCTAGGTCAGGTGTGTGTGAAGGAGGAGGCAGGTCAAGTCTTGCTCCTTTCAGACTTGTATGCAGCAGAGATGGAGCCCCACGCAAGCAAACACAGGGGAAGGTGGGGAGTGGACTTACATCCGGGCTAAGCAAAGATGGCATTCACTTTCATATGTGACCCCGTCAGTGCCGCAGACCAGGTTGGATGTCTGGGAACAGTCTGGCGACTCTGCCATATGCTCACAGTAGGGCTATGAGAGAGAAGACGGGAGGGAGGGCACTTAGGGATTCAGAGGCAGTGAGGGGAACTCAGGGCTCTGCTTGTAGCCAGAGTGCATTGATCCTGCTGAGCCTGGGTGGGGGGATTTCACTGCTGGCAGGGGCTTGATGCCAGTTTGGGGACTTCGGCAAAGGGGCTGGGCCTGCTCAGTCTGGAAGGGCTGATCCATGGAACACAGCTCGGGAAACCACCCTGGCCACTGTGGAGCCAGGGGAGTTATCTGAGCAGGGGTGTAAAGGAAAACAAACGCTGGTTTTCCAGCGTGGATGGGAGGGCTCCGTCCGCAGAGGGAAGGCCAGAACTGCAAGCGGCTGCCTTACCATTCTTGAGAAAACGAGCTTTTCTCCTGACACTGGCACTCCTGAAAGGCAAAACAGCAAGAATTAGGTGATGTCTGCTCTAGGCCCCCCAGTCCAGGGATCTGAAGACTGCTTCAGAGGACCTGTTCCAGCCACTGGCCAACCTCGAATTCCTCACGGAAAGGCAGTGGTCACCAGACTGTGGGGCTTCCAGAAAGCTGGTGTGACCTTGGGTTACATGAACAGAGAAAGTCTAGAATTAAGAGCAGTCCAACCTGTTGCTTATTAGTCAGATTCCACTGGAATTATGTCCCATCCTATGTAATAAAGAGCTAATATGCTAATTAGACTGAACAGCAGAAAGATCGTCTGGATGACCTTCCGGACAAAGCCAGGGCTGCAAGGGCCAAGGCAGCTGGGGCTGCGAAGGCTGAGACAGCTGGGGCTAAGCCCCTTGCACGAATTTCGTGCATCGGGCCTCTAGTGTAATAATAAAAATAACAGTCTGTGCCAAACGAGAATACATGATCTTACTACTCTTCATACCTCTCTCATGCTGTGTAATGAACAGAGCGAGCAGTGGGTGCTGGGGTCTGCTACCTAGAGCCCACCCGCGGGACTGACACCTTCATTTCCTCAGCTGCCAAGAGTATTGGCCATTCATAGTGAGGCCCTTCCTAGGAATTACTCTCAGAGAATGGAGCTACCTCGCTCAAGGTCCCACCCCCTACCCAGGAGCAGCCCACCTCCAATGACAGATTGATGCAGGTACAACAGCCCGAACCCCTCGTCTCTATTCAGAACAATGCTGAAGGGCCTCCCCAGCTCCAAGGCTCCCCGTAGGCTCATCAGAGTCAACGTCCCTCATCCCTCATGGGTCTTAGTCCCATAAGCCGCATGCAGATCTGAGTCTTTCCTGGGGAACTGGACCAACCTATAAAGGAGGCTCAGAGGTCAAGCAACACAGTTTGTTCGGGCAGAGCCGGGGTTTGCACACAGGTCTGTCACTCCCTAACCTGGCTCTTCCCGCACACACTGGTGTGTTCCATGGCCCCTCAAGGTTTGGATGAACTGCTTACAGGACCTGAGCAAATTGTGAGGTGACGGGTGGATGAGACAGGAGCCATGTCTAACACCACAGGTGGAAGGAAAGCGGTTTATGTAGAGTGGAAAAGGGCAGGATGTTTCCTAAAATCTCTGAATGATTGTCTTGAGGCCAAGGGAGACCTCAACTTGCTAGGGCAGAGCCTGTCTGAGAAAGGAGGCTTCAGGTTTGGGTTCCGGAATGTTCTCTCAGTGGGAGTTATGCCCCAGTGAAGGGGGCTGTCTCCAGAAGTGGAAAGTTCTCCATCAATAGAGGCTTACAAGGCACTGGTTTTAGCTCCGCCTGGGAATGCTATTACAAGAGATTTCCAAGGTAGAGAGGGAAACGGGAACTGAGACAGTGACCTCTGGTGTGCTGTTCACGCCTGATGTTGGGCATCAAAATGCAAACCTAGCCTTGTCACCACACTGCCCCAAACCGTCCATGTCAATTTCTAAAACTGGAAATTACCAAATGTCCTGCAACAGGAGAGCGGATAGACTATGACACACACATACAGTGAGATATAACTCAGCCATAAAAATGAGCAAACAACTGATAATGTGACAACATGGCTAAATCTCAACAACATGCTGAGCCAAAGAAGCCAGGTACAAAAGACTACATACTGTGTGGAGGGGCACCTTGGGCCAAGGTCAAGGGCAGACTGGAGGAATAAACGCAACTTAAGTGACATGCTAGAACAGGCCAAACGAATCTATGGTAGAATACAGAGCAGTGGTTGCCTCTGGGAAAGGGGTGGGAGTGGGGATGACTGACATGGAAATTTCTGGGGTGACAGAAATATTCTGTATCTTGATAGGGGTCTGGGTTACACATTTATATCCTGTCAACTTTCATTGAATTTTGTGCCTTCCATGGTAACTATTAGGGGCCAAAAAAAAAAAAACATTAAAAAAATATAAAGCCCTTCCATGGCTGCCTGTCAGGATCACTAAGCTCCTTCATTTTATGTTTAGGGCACTGCATGAGCTGCTCCCAAACTTCACCCTGGACTCCCTTCCTAGTACACACACCTCCATGTTCCTGCTCTCGCAGCTGACTCTTCCTAGAACAGGCTCTACTTTGGCTCATACTGTGGCCTCTGCCGGAAATGTCCTTATTCCCCTTCTCCTATTGTCTCATACCCTTTTCTCAAGGCTCAGATGTACCTTCCGGAGAAGCCTTCCCTGATGTTCCCCAGGGTTTCCTGAGCAGGCCTGGATTTAGGCTTCAGTTTTAGTTTGTTTGGGCTGCTATAACAAAAATCCCACAAACTAGGTGTCTTAGAAACAAAACAAACATTTGGGGAGCATTTGAGATCTTGCTCCCAGTATATGCCATCAGTTTGGCTCAAATAAATTCTTATTAAAAATAAAAAATAGCCCGGCTGCTGTAGCTCAGGAGTGGAGCATCAACCCAGGAACCAAGAGGCTACTGGTTCACTGGTTTGATTCCCAGTCGGGGCATATGCCCAGGGGTTGCAGACTTGATCCCCTGGGTACATGCTCAGGTTGTGGGCTCTATCCCCAGTAGGGTGCAAGAGGGTAGCCAATCGATCTTTCCCTCTCATTAATATTTCTATCTCCCTCTCCCTTCCTCTCTCTCTCTAAAATCAATTAAAAAACATTTTAAAAATAATTAAAAAATAAAAACATATTTATTTATCCCAGTTCTGAATGTGGGAAGTTCAAAGTCATGGTGTCAGCAGATTTGGTGTCTGGTAAGGCCCTCTTCCTGGTTCATAGCCTGTTCCTTTTTGCTATGTCCTTAATGGTGAAATGGTGTAGGCAGCTCTCGGGGGCCTCTTTTATAAGGGGACTAATCCCATTCATGAGGGTTCCGACCTCATGACCTACTTTCTGGTCACCTTGGGGATTGGGATTTCAGCATATGAATTTGGGGGGCCACCATCATTCAGACCATAGCAGCAGCTTTCATGCCACCATGTGCTGTCCCACTGGGTCACTCCTGTCTTCCTATGGGCCTGAGTTCCCTAGGGCTCCCCTTTCCTCTGCCTCCGAGTGTCAATGCCCCCACACAGCGAGTGTTCAGGAATTGACCCCTAAAGTGCATTGTGGGGAAGAGTTCAAAACCCTGTGGTGTCAGAGTTTCTTCCTGGAGGATGTGAGAAGAAGTTGTATTTACCCCAGGCTGCCCTGGATTTGGGCCCAAGATATCCCCTTCTCACTCAGCCAAGGCAGGAATCTGAAATGGGCACAAGGACTCCCTTCAGGGCAGGCCTCCTCAGTGTTCCCACCAGGAGAAGTACTTGGGGAAAGGAAGCCAGGCTGTGAGTGAGCAGGCTGTGCTGGGACAGAAGCCCCAGACCCATTCTCTGAGTCCCCAGCTGGGGAAATGTCTGTGGGACTGGCCATGAGGTCAATGGCCTTGACGTCCTGCCGGGCCTTGCCCTGTAACACCATGGCTTTGTCTCCTTGCTTCCCCCTTTAGTCTTCTCAACAGCAACCAGAGTGATCCTTTTACAACATACCTGCTGAAAACTCTTCAGTACCCCCCATTTCACTCAGAGGAGGAGCCAAGTTCACATTGGCCTTCAAGGCCTCACGCACTATAGTTCCTGGTTGCCTCTATTATCTCCCCTGCCTCTCTCTCCCCTCCCACTGCACTGGCCTCCTTGCAGTATCTCAAAGACTCATACCTCAGGGCCTTTGCACTGCCTCTTCCCTCTGCCTGGAACCTTTTTCTTTCAGATATTCACATGGCTCACTCCCTCGCCTCCTTCAAGCTTTGGTCAGACATCAGCCTCTGAGGAAAAGTTCCCCTGATTTATCCTTACAACCCCATCCCAAACCCATCTCTCTGCCTCATATTTTATCACCTTCTAACATACTGTTTAACATACACTGCACCTATCTTGTCTACTGTTCATTCCCTCCCACCATCACCCCATTGGATTTAAGCTCACTGATATGTCTGAAGGGTCAAGAACAATGAGAACAAAGCCTTATAACACAACAGGTATGAGACTGCAGAGGTGCCCCAGGCTCTGAGGAGGCCCCATTTCAGCTGCACGTGTCCAATCCAGGGCAAATGCTCCCAGGAAGAGGGCTTCCATGTGCTCATATGGCTGCTCTCAGTCCCACAGCGATAGCCTGTCAGCATGGATGAAAGCTAAGAGGACCCAGGCCAGCCTTCCTTCCAGACCCACCAGCTTGCAACCAGCAGATGAGATAGGCCTGCTCCTTTCTGCCTCCCTGATCTCTAGCCCAGTAGTTGCTCAGTGCAGCTTTGAACTAAGACAACCTCCTACTTTACAGCTGGAGAAATGTAGGCCCAAGAGGGGAAAGGATTTTTGCAATTCTAGGCCAGAATCAGAAACTGAACCCAGATTTCCTTTCTCCTAGCCCAGGGCTTTCCCCACGTTGGTGGGAGGGGTGCAGAAAAAGTTATATGCAGCCTGGCCAGTGTTGCTCAGTGGTTGAGCATTGACCTATGAACCACAAGGTCATGGTTCGACTCCCAGTCAGGGCACATGCCTGGGTTGCGGGCTGGATCACCAGTGTGGGTCGTGCAGGAGGCAGCCGATCAATGATTCCCTGCCATCATTGATGTTTCTATCTCTCTCTCCCTCTCTATTCCTCTCTGAAATCAATAAAATAGATATTGTTTTTAAAAAAATTTTTAAGTTATATGCAGAAAATTGAAGCCTCATAGAAGTGCTCCAGGCCCAGCCTCTGCCCCCAACCCAAGCTCACCTACCAATGCCAAGCCATAGAGAATCCAAGCTCTGCCCACTCACCTCTGTCCACAACGAGGAGGGCAGCCAAGGCCAGGGCGACCACCCACAGACGGACGGCCATGCTGATCCTGGGTTCGTGTGGGCTCGGCTAGTGAAGCCTGGGCTGGGAGAAGGATGGGGGCCTGTTTATAGTGCTGAGCCCTCCCCTTATCTTATCTGGGGCCAGATGGAGAGGCCAGGAGTGGCATCCTGCGTAATCTCTGCACCTTGGCTTCCGGAAAGGGCTTTCTCTACGCAGAGATGCTGAGCTGAGGTGGGGTGGGACTGTGGTTATTGGGCTGGCAGATTTTCAAATTGAGGAAAAGTTTGGACAACTCACAAAGTTGATGCCAGTCTGAGGACTGGAGCAAGAGGGAAAGGGAAATTGGAAGTAGAAAGAGAAAAACCAAGAAACCAAGTAAGGAGAGAGAGAGAGAGAGAGAGAGAGAAGGCAGTTCAGAAAGAAAGAGGAAAAAGCAACTGGAAGGTGGCAGGAGGCAGAGAAAAGGGGCTGGAATGCCTCTACCAACCAGTTTTGTGACCTCAGAAAAGCTACTTTTTAAAACTGAGCCTCAGTTTACCTGTGCACAAAATGGGGGTGATAATTCTGGCTCTGTCTACCTCATAGGGCTGCTGTGAAGATGAGAGTGTTGATAGCAGATGGGAAAATATTTTGCAGTGTATAAAATGAGGTATAAAGGTAAACAGAAGTTTACCTTTTCTTTCTTTCTTTTTGCATCATATGAAGGCACAACTGACAGGGGGAAAGGACAAAATAAAACACTATAAGGGTTTAATGCAGACAAGATCAGTATCTAAAACTACCCCATATATACGCAATATTTATGAATGAGATATTTGGTTATCTGCTTTCAAAGAATTTCTGATTCATTAAAAGAATAACAAGCCCTGGCTGGTTTGGTTAGAGTGTCAGCCTGCATCCCAAAGGGGCGCAGATTCAATTCCTGGCCAAGGGCATGTACCTGGGTTTCAGGTTTGTTCCCCGCCCCTGGTTGAGCGGCAGAGAGGCAACCAGTTAATGTGCCTCTCTCACATCGATGTTTCCCTCTTTCTCTTTCTCTCTTTCTCTCCCTCCCTCCCTCCCTCCCTCCCTCCCTTCTACTCTCTAAAAAGCAATGGAAAGCCCTAACCGGTTTGGCTCAGTGGATGGAGCGTCAGTCTGCGGACTGAAGGGTCCCAGGTTCGATTCCGGTCAAGGGCATGTACCTGAGTTGCGGGCACATCCCCAGTAGGGGGTGTGCAGGAGGCAGCGGATCAATGTTTCTCTCTCATTGATGTTTCTAACTCTCTATCCCTCTCTCTTCCTCTCTGTAAAAAATCAATAAAATATATATTTATAAATAAAAAAATAAAAAAAATAAAAAGCAATGGAAAAAACATCCTCAGGTGAGGCTTAACAACAACAACAACAAATGACCGGCAGGTGTGACTCAGTGGTTGAGTGTCAGCCCAGGAACTAAGAGATCACAATTCAAATCACAGTCAGGGCACAGGGCACATGCCCAGATTGTGGGCTCAGTCCCCAGTGGGGCACATTCAGGAAGCAGCTGATTGATTGATGTTTTTCTTTCATCCATGTTTCTATCTCTCTATCCCTCTCCCTTTTTCTCTAAAAAATCAATAAAAACATATTAAAACAAATTTTAAGCCCACAAAATTTTATTTACATATTTGGATCAGTAATTTTCAGCTCCATCTGCAGATTAGATTTCCAATGGGAGAATTTAAAACTACAGAAGCTGGACCTCACTCAAAAATATTTGAATCAAAATTTCAGCACTTAAAAAAACTTGTATTTAGGAAGATTTCAAGCTTACAGATAAATTGTGAGGATAGTTAAATTAGCCAATGGGGAGGATTCTTGTCCAAGAAGAACCCTGTTGGCCCTGGCCGCTGTGACTCAGTGCTTAGAGTGTCAGCCCGCACACCAAAAGGTCTCAGGTTTGATTCTGGGTCAAGGGCACATACCTGGGTTGCAGGTTCAATCCCCGGCCCCAGTCAGGGCACATGCAGGAGGCAACCGATCAATGTGTCTCTCTTACACTGATGTTTCTCTCTCTAAAATATAAAAAGAAGAAACCCTTTGGGGGTCCCAGGCAGCTAGACAGTCACCCCCACAGACCAATAGAAGCCCCAGATCTGCAGCCCAGCCCAGCCTGAGATCCGTGACTCAGTTTCAGGATCCTCCTGCCCCTCCTAAGGAAGCTTCATGACCCTCAGGTGCCTCTGAGGCAGGTGGCAGCTATCCTTTTACTGTTTAGCAGAGCAAATATTTAATGACAATTTCCTGTCCCAGAGCAAGAACATCATCTCATAAAGGGAGGGGAACTTAAAGGTCACCTATCTGTCTCCCATCTTTTACTCAGGCCTTATAGCAGCCCACCAGCAAGTCATTCATCCTCTAGTGATGAGGCGCTCACTACCTACCAGTTTCAGTGTTGGATGGCTTTGAACACACAAGAGGCTGGCTTCCCTGGTATGTTATGTAGAAGAGAAATTACGTGGTATAAGGGGAGAAAGTGACAAAGGGAAGGAGGCTGCTCTTTTAGATAGTGACACACGAGCAGAAGGAGCAAGTTCTGCAGAAACCTGTGGGAAGAGCCTGCTAAGCGGAGGAGCTGCAAGTGCAAAGGTCCTGGGATGGGAACAAGCTTGGCATGCTCCAGAGGCAAATATCAAGGCGCCCATCGTGGTTAGAGTAGAGTAAACAAGGAATTGAGTAGCAGGAGATGAGGGCCAGCTCTTACTCGGATCCCAGCCCAGCCACCAACTTGGGTGAACTTGGGTGCATCCCTTCACCTCTGGGCCTGCACATATGCTCCTATCTGAGAAGTGAGCACAGTGTTATGTACCAACACCAGCCTGAGTCCCGGGGCCGCTGTGAGGGCCTGTGAGGTGAGATGTGTGTGACTGTTGTGATGCCAGGAAGCGTCTTGCTTGGAGGATCCTGGAAGTAGGCAGAGGCCAAGCCTTAAAAGTCCTGGGCGCCGAAACCGGTTTGGCTCAGTGGATAGAGCGTCGGCCTGCGGACTGAAGGGTCCCAGGTTCGATTCCAGTCAGGGGCATGTACCTGGGTTGCGGGCACATCCCCAGTAGGAGATGTGCAGGAGGCGGCTGATCGATGTTTCTCTCTCATCGATGTTTCTAACTCTCTATCTCTCTCCCTTCCTCTCTGTGGAAAATCAATAAAATATATTAAAAAAAAAAAAGTCCTGGGCACCTACCCAAGTGCTAGGATCAATACAGTAAAGGCAGAGGTGCTCTGAAACTGGGCTTGAGCAGGGGAGCAGTTGATTCCTCCATCTCCTGCCCCTCGTCAGAGTGAAGGCTGGGACATGTGAGCTGGCTGAGCCAACACTCCCTGGCCTACCAGTAGCCTTCATGCTGCCTGCTAAGACCTGGACTGGTGCCCAGCTCCTCAAAGAATACAGCCTCTCCTTGATGACGACAATGCAGGATCCATTAGGTCTGAGTCACAAGCCTTGCTGATAAGTGGAAGGAACACTGGCCTTGTTGTTTTTTATAAGGTGGGTGAGTTGAGCTCAAGCAGGCCTGAGTCTGCCAGATGGCACAGACAGCACAGGCAGCTTGCCCCTGGACTCTCCCTGGCCCCTCGGCCTACATCCTGTTCCACCCTTCCTCCAGCCTCAAGTGCCCCCACCTGCCCGTCCACCTGCTATGAGCAGCCCAGGTGTGGGCACCCACTCCAGGGAGGCCTGGACTAGGCACAGCCAGTTCCACAGCCTGTCCTGTCCTGGACTCCTCAGCCACCTGAGTCCAGGTCCCAGTTCTGGCCATTTCCCGTTCTGCCTGGTCCAAGGCTGCAGGGCCCCACGATGTCAGTGGGAGGAAAGGGCACCCCTCTACTCCTTCAAAGGGAGATATCATCTCCTTGTTTGGGATCTGACTTCAAGAAGGACTCAACGAAGGGAACAACTGAAGTCATTCCTCCATGGGGATACCCACCCTGCCATTCAATGGACACTTATTAAGTACCTACTGTTGGGTACTGGTCACGGTGCCAGGTCCAGGGGCCGCAGAGATGAGTGAGAAACATCCTGCAGTTTACAGTGGTGGGGAAGAGGAATGGACACGTGGACACTTGAACCGGTATTTATAAAATGCTGTGGTTAGAGCAGTGATAGAAATAGTGATAGAGATATTCATGGACATTCACTCAATATAGCCAAAAGTCAACTTACCATCAACTTACCCACCCAAAGATACCCTACCTCCAAGTCCCCCCATCTGGGTGCACAGTGCTACCATCATCCAGGTGCCCACACTTACTTCTACATTCAGGGAGTCAAGTCTTACTGATTTCACCTCCTCTCCATCTGTCATATCCATCACCTCCTTTACATTTCCTCAGTCGTTGCTCTAGTTTGGCCTCCATGATCTCTCACCTTCCTTACTCATATTGTCTCCCTGCCTAAGGCCTCACCAACTCAAATTCATCCTCCATTCCACTTCCAGAGCAATCCTTCTGAAATGCAAAAAACCCCACATGATCCCCCTGCTTAATATTATTCAATTATTATTAGTCAATTCAATTAAAATTATTCAATCACTATTGACTCAAGGATGAAAAGCAAACTCCTTGGCATACAATACACATCCTCCATGACACATCCTTTGCTGGCCTCTTGAACTTTATCTCTTGCCACTTAACCCTTCACTCCATTCGGTAGAACCACCCACCAGGCTTCTATGCCTCCAAGCCTTTGTTCATGCTGCACCCTCTGCCTGGCATGCCCCTCTGTCACTTCCTTTTCGTTCTTTTCACAGGACCTCAGCTCTCACCATTTTGTGCCCCTCATCTGTACAGACATCTATCCTAGCTGCACCTGTAATGCTCTCTGGCTTTTTCTTGCTTACGTGAACATCTTCACTTTCTTAGAGAGAGAGACTGAGAGGACATCTGATTCACCTCATATCCCCAATGCTCTGCAAAGGACCTGGCACCCGTGTATTGACTATACGGATACATCCAGGACTGAATACTTCAGGACAGCAAGGAGCCCAACTCCAGATTCTCAACTGGACTCGAGGGCTTCAGAGAGCTCTGAGGACCAGGCTGTTCTCCAGTTGGCCCAATAGGTCCAGTTAGCGACCACTGTATGCTATGTCCATAAGGGAATAGAGGTGGCACTCTATTCCAAAAATCACATTTTTCTAGTTTTTGGCCCAAGAATCCAGCATCTCCTCCAACACCTAGATGTAGTGCTTCACTCCAAAAGCCACCCCAAGCTCATCTGCAGGGCTCACAAACATCAGCTTTAGTACCTAAATTCTCTCGGTGCATGGAATTCTGGCATGATCATTATCAACGAGGAAGGAATTTTAGTCCATTCCTCACCCTAGAAGTGACCTGAGATTACAAGAGACCTGGTATTCTGGGCCGTGTGTGTC